TTAACAGTTGAATCTGTTTATTATAATAAAGGCGATCTTATTTTTAAAAAATAAGTTTACATTTTTACTTGCCAGTGGCATAAATCTCTAAGGATAACAAACTTTTTTCCCACTAGTAATAAATGGGAAGTGATGCCTGAATGATTTGCAGTTTTGAAAGCAATAAATGAAGTAACTAGGAAAATCTGGTATGAGCACTAAATCTAAGAAATGTAGAGTATGATAGTTCTGAACAGTGTCATCTTGGCTGCTAGGATGCAACCTGGAATTTTATATACCCTATTGATGGAGAATGATTTTTCTCTATCTATAAATACTGTATTTCATATACACTATATATTTTGCACTTAAAACCCATATTTCCTTTTCAGAGCATAAAGGAATAATCATTTAATATCAGGCCTTAATGGGAAAGTGTTTGGAAGAGGAATAGTAAACAAAGAAACTGTAAAATTTATTCAATACACTCTAGGCTAAAACTCTGCTGAGGCAGGAGGCAACTAAGGCATCCAGTAAGTATGACACAATCACCAGAGATAAGTTTTCATCACAGCGAATTCCCAGGTCTGCAACATTGGTATGATCACGTATAAGGGAATTTTTATCTGACCATTCTACACTCACACTTTCAATATAAAAAATTTAAGTTGGTCTCTTCAGGAGAAAAAACAACCAAGGACTGATTGTGTGTGTGTGTGTGTGTGTGTGTGTGTGTGTGTGTTTTCCTGTAAAGTTCTACTTAAATACTTAAAGGTCTAAATAACCATGTAATCACAAAATTTAAGATGTTTCTACTTAAATTACTAAAACATTCAGCATATTGATAATGTTTGCACTGCTGATATAACACAAGCATTTGTTACAACCACCACAACAATAAAAAAGCAAAAAGACAAAAGCCCCTAATGGTATTATTTATCATTTTTGGATAAAATTATAATAGGGAGCAAGGGACCAAAGAAGGAAGAATATATAAATCTATGGTGCGTATTATGTTTCAAAAATGATTACACTTTTAAATCTATCACAACATACTATGCTGAAATATTTAGGCTACTAGTTATGGAAGTTGATATTTAAAAAACATGCAGTTACATCAAATAATTTATGTAAAAATATTTTACTGAAATATTTTTGCATAATTGCCTCAATTCTCAAAAAAATTATTGGCATAGACTTAGCCTACATTGTCACATCTAATAAATTTCACATTCCATCCTAGGGCCCAAATGCTATAAGTACTAATGCCAACCATTTTAAGATTCTTTCTTTCCATTTTTATTCTGACAATTGGACCAAAATAATAGTTACAATGAGGCTCCTTTCATTCCAAATTTTCTCTTAATTAATCTCATCAGTCTTATTGTTTTACTTTTAAGCACTCTCTTTGCCTTTCTCTCCTTAAATCCCATGTACGTTAAGCCTTAGCCACTTGAGGCAGATAGTTTATATCACTATATCAATTCGAGGAATGTAAAATTAGTTCAATGATGAAGTGAAAGAACAATTAAAATGTGGCAAACTTCTTGTCTATTTTACAGTCAAAGCCTAACTTAAAACTGGATGAGCCAGGGTTTCTATGGCATGCTAACAACTAGATTGTGAGTTTGTATTTTTCACTTACATATTATATATTTTGATACATTATGTTGCTGCCAGTAATTATGACTGATCTACACTCAACCTGCCCTTCAGCGTTTTATTGAATTGCATTTCAACAGTGACTCATAGTTCATACAAAAATGTACATGTGTGTTAACAAGTTTTAAGAAATCCAAGAAGGAAGACACAGATGTTTAAAAGTTGTGGATACATAGATGAAAGGGAAATGCAGAAATACTAATGATGACATTTTCAAAATTATTATTCTTAGTTGGAAATAACTTGGACTGATGCTCTGTATAGATAAGATTAAAAACATTTTTTACAAAATATGTTTGTGAGCTGGGTGCAGCGGCTCACGCCTGTAATCTCAGCACTTTGGGAGGGTGACGTGGGTGGATCTCTTGAGCCCTCAAGTTAGAGACCAACCTGGGCAACATAGCAAAACCCTCACCTCTACAAAACAAAACAAATAAACAAACAAAAACTAATGGGGCATGGTGGCACATGCCTGTACTCTCAACTACTAGGGAGGCTGAGGCAGAATAATCACTTGAGCCAGGAGTTGGAGTTTGCATTGAGCCATGTTCATGCCGCTGCACTCCAGCATGGGCAACAGAGCAGGACTCAGTCTCAAAAACAAAAACTAAAACTAAAACAGGAAGAAGTTTCCATAAAAATTAATAAACTATTAAAAATTCAAATCAAAGGGCCTGGCGTGGTGGCTCACGCCTGTAATCCTAGCACTTTGGGAGGCTGAAGTGGACAGATCACAAGGTCAAGAGATTGAGACCATGCTGGCCAACATGGTAAAACCTGTCTCTACTAAAAATAAAAAAAAAAAAAAAAAAAAAATTAGCTGGGTGTGGTGGCGTGCACCTGTTGCTAGCAAACTCCACTCACGGTGGAGCTATGGGAGGCTACTTGGGAGGCTGAGGCAGGAGAATTGCTTGAACCCAGGAGGTGGAGGTCGCAGTGAGCTGAGATGGCGCCACTGCACTCCAGCTTGGCAACAGAGCGAGACTCCGTCTCAAAAACAAATAATAATAATAATAGTTCAAATCAAACATAATATTATCATTATTTGTCAAACTGAAGAAAAACAATCTCTCTTACAACTTTTAGTTACTGAAGGGACATTTTCTATAGCAAACAAACTTTTAAGTGTTGAAACCATTGCCAAATGCAAAGCACTGAGGTGTAAGCAAAAGCCACTTCTAACTCCATGTATATATCCAAGTAGAAAGAACCCACACACTGCACAAAGTGGCAGTTAAGCACAGAATTGTGTTTCTGTCCCAAATAACTAAGTAGAAGCTATTTTTAAGTTATATACCTGTGCAGAATTGAATAACAATGTGAAGTTTAGGGTAAAGTCTGCATATACTTTAAAGATTATTTTAGAGTATGAATTAAAACTTTTTTTTAACATCCTTTCTCTCTCTTCTAGTTACAAAACAAAAGTCGAACTGTGATCATTGACTGATTAGGAAGGTTACTCTCTGGCAGAGATTGTGTATAGAATCTAAAAAATTGTGTGTATATATATTGCTTGAAGTCACAAGAATGCCTTCCTCTTCCTGCATTCACAGGAAATATCCCATAATAAGGTTATCCACCCACAGTAAGCAACTTGTATTGGGATTTGTTCTCTGGTAACTGTGTTTATGAGTGGAGTTTGCTAGCAACCCTGAAGAGGAAGAGAGATGGCTCACACAAAAGATCCCCTGAGTGATAGCACTTTTGGGTTTCTTAACTAGAGAGCCTGTCCTGCCACTCCTTTGCGAACAGGAACACTTCCCAGGGAAATGTGACATTTGTGAAGCCTCCACTGTATTAAAACTGCCTCAACATCAGTTTTAAGTTTTAAAATATAGGTATATGAATTTAGATGTGCATGAAAAATTGATGGTATTTCCTATAATATTGTCCAGAACCATTTGAAAGTTCCAATATGTAGTATTAACAGCCTTGAAAATTAAGACACAGTAGCAGGTAAAAATAGGCAAACAAAAACCTCAGCAGCCACACAACTCCTAGTAACACATTTAGATGTAGTATGCCTCTTCTTGGCTTACCATCCCCTGATGAAAAGGGCTGCAAAAATTGATCTCTCAAGGCTGCAGTAAGGTCATAGAAATTGATAACCCTTACAAGCAGTGCTTATGTGAGTCTGTCTGTGTCTTGCAGATAGTGCACTTTGTAAATTAATCCTCCAAAGGCAAATATATTGTAAGTAGCTTGTTATCTCTAAAATACTAAATTGAAGAATACATGGGATTATATTGACAGAAATTACATTTTCTGTAATGGGGTTTAATATATCTGAAATCTCTCCCAAAGGCTCCCAGGCTCTCTAACAGAGAAGGGTCTGTTAATGTAGGTGCAATAGACATCAAGAACAAATTTATTCACCAAAATGGATTAGGCCATGTAATCAGAGATTCTGTAATATTAATCTTTGACACTTATTGAACAGAAAGAAATACTTCTGTCTGCAAACTGGCATTCCTAGTTCTCCCCTTCCCTAACCCAGGCTTTGGGCCTTTTCTGGATTTTACTTCAAAGAGGATAAGGTTTCCCCATCATAAACACTAATCTAAAAATATTAGGACAATTAATTAGATACACTTACTTTTAGAGGATATTGGATTTCGATACCCTTCAAATATGACACTAGCCCTGGGTGATTATATGAAACCTGGCTTTCAGCACATTCACAAAGGGTAATAAATCATACTTTCTCAAAGCCTCATTGCCACACTGCTGTACATTAAGTCAGAATATTGTTGGCTGGTACTTGGTACATAATCTCAGCTTCGCCCCAAATCAGGAATTTACACTTTATTTAGAAACAGTATTGCAGAGCCCTCAGATACCAAAGGTTTGGAATAGCCTCAAAGAGAAACATAAATAATTTCTTCCTTTCAGTATTCCAGAGATAAGAGTAAAGGAGAGACTATCCTTGAATTCATAGCCCTAACGAAATCTAACTAAATTTAGTTATTCAATGAATTTAAATCTGACTGATATGTGATGGTGGATTTTCTTGTTCTGTAGAAAATAGGATGATATCATTCTATCGATTACCCTGAAGCAGGGAAAAAAGCCATAGAGAGAGAGACATTTACAGAGCCATAGTGAATGCGAATTACACACATACTTATACTACGCATAAATTGTCAACTTATAAAGGAGGTAGAAGGCAATACCATGCCTTATTTCCCATACTAGCAAATGTTCTCACATATCAGTCAACAGTTTGTTTTCACTTTTGGATCAACAAGCCACCAGGGAAAGCAGTGGCAACTGGGTGTGTCTTCTTCATGCAAAACATGAGCTGCAGGTTGCCAGAGGGGGAAACAGATTGTGTGTAAACACAAAGCCAAATTACTTACCAATTGTTCACTTGAAGGATGGTGAGTCCCGTGTCTTGTGCCAACTGCTTTTTCTGTTCTTCAGAAGGGTAAGGGTGCTGAAAGAGAATAAAAAAGATATGTGTGCATCAGGTAATGTTTAGGCCATTTTGTCAAGAGCCTAAGTGTCTCATGAAGTCTATAATTAAAGGTAAAAATGCTGAGGTGTGTCACTCTTATTAATGGAATACTATATCATCTAATTAATGGCAGTAAAAGACAAGCCAATTACAAAGATTAGTGAAGTGTATAAATAGCTACTTAGGATACTTGCAGAACCTTGATACTGAGTTTATCCTTTAACAGGTTTATTTGTTGCAAACACAGAAAGTTTAGTATAATCTTCACTGTATTTTATAGGATTAAAATAAGGACAAGCTGACCCATTTGGACCAACAATCTCAGCTGAGGTCCCCACCGTGGCATTCTCCCTCTAAAATACCATATTGCCAGATGCAAATATCAAAACTAAAGTGGGTGTTATTAAAACACACACACACACACACACACACACTCTCTCTCTCTCTCTCTCTCTCTCTCTCTCTCTTCATTTTAGCTCTTCAGCAAAGCCCAAACAAACAAAATTCAACAATGCTGGTTTCCATATCTGAATGTCAACACATGCTAAGATTCTGAACACAGGCCAATATAAGGTCAAAGACCAGCATATTCTGCATGTTAAGAACAAGCCCAGCTATGTTCCTCAAGAGTCAGAGTAGATAAAAGTATTACAGGATTAGATAATAAAGTGAAATTCATACCTTCCTGTAAGAATCTTTGGAATTCTACTGAAATTAGTTCTGGTACAAAAGCTTTCTGTTCACTAATGAAATATATCTAAATTTGAAATACATATTTCTAAAGCTTAGGGGAGGAGCTGAGAATGTGGTTTCCATCTATAGAGACATTAGCTTGCTTGAAATACTGCATCTCAATATATTCTCCCAAGATAAAATTCTTCTGAGAGTCAACCCTCTATTCTATTATGAATAGAAAAGGGCACCCCCAATCCTTAATTTAACTATCTGTGCCACTGAAACTACATTCTGGTCTATTGAATGCTAATTAACATAGCTTTTAATTTAATTAATAATATCTGATTAGATGCTAAAAAGGCTTGTTAATGACCACTTCAGTGCTCTTATATGTAAGTTTAAATATGCTCTGTATCTATACACATGGGATTTGTTTGTGAACAGCAGAGAGATAGCAATTTTTCCCATAAGCATTGTCTATGATTGTCACTTAATCAATAAATACACAATTAGAAGAAGGCTTTGCTTTCATGGAATATAGTGCCTTTCTCTAAAGAGCTCCAAGTATATTACAGACAGTATGGTAATTAATCCCCATTATATCCCTGTGAGCGACATAAATGGAATCTATCAACCCTTCTGTTTTACAGGTGAGGAAACTGGCCAGGAGAAGAGATGGCCAGAGGCAGACATAAGTAAGTGAAACTTCCTGCTTCCCTTCTAGTGCCTAAGCCTTACCATGACCAAAGGATGTCAGATGCCTTTCATAATCCTCATTCGTGTCCCCTGTTAAATAGTATTCAGAGAGGTTATCATGGCCTGCAAGGTCTGCCACCACCCAGCCCTGCCCATCTCTCAGATTTGGACACCTTCTTCTCACCTGCTTACTACCCAGCCACATCATCCTTTCTGTTTTCCTAACACTGTCAGCTTTTCCCATCGCCCACGTTCCTACTTCAATGTCACTTTCAGCTCTCAGCTCAAATATTCAGCTTTTACCCTTCCCACCACTCCAGTACCTGCCTTATCGTGTTCACATTCATCTTTTTCTTATTTCCCTAATAGCAAGCATTGCTCTCTCAAGCACCTGATTTAATTATTTATTTCCTTGTTGGTGTGTCTTTTCCCACTCATCTACCAGTGCTAACCTCCTTGCCTTGCTTGCTGTCTATCCTCAAAGCCCAGATCAGAACATAACAGAAAATCACTAAATACTTGTGGAACAAAGGAGTGGTTATAACATGCTATGATAGACGCTCTCCACTCAGGTGCAACATCAAAATATATAATAAAGCATAAACGATTCAATTTAAAATCCATGACACTACTTTCTTTGCTTCATTCACGAAAGTGATGTTGACCCACTTTCTTCAAATAAAGGTATATAAACCTCATAAAAGCCTAAAATCATAAGTGACATTGGTGCAACTCAACAGAATGCCAGCCACTGCAGCCAAAGTCTCATGAATGGCTACTGAGTTTAAAGCAATCCATTACCCTAAGGTTTAAAACATAATTCTGACTATATAAAGATTTGATACATAATACAAAACACATGAACTTCTTATCCCATGGATAGAATGCTGAATTACAGCTTGATATACAATAGTTCTATGTCTACACTAATTGAAGAATTGTACATACAATAGGTGACTCTATTAGATTGTATAAATGATGCTGCCACTCATTAACTATGGGACTCTGAACAAGAGACAACTTTTTTATCCTCAATTTTGTCATCCAGGGTTCTAAGATCCATTGTGGTTAAAGATTACCCAGGCTGGCAGTTCTTACAGTATTGCAATGCCAGAAGATAAGCTCAATTTTGAAATATGCAAATGTTAGCATCCCACCATTGGCACTATTTGCCATAAAAAGTTGTACACTGAAGTACACAAGCAACTTCCAATCTATAACATTTTCTGTAATATGACTTGCTGACAGTTTCCAAGGTCTTACAGAAATCACTTGCAATGATTTTTAATAGAATTAATAAATATGTCCACAGTCTCTCTTTGGTATAGTTGGATGGCAAAATATTTTGCCCTGTCTTGTTAGTTGTGTCTTAGTATTATGACCAGAACTGGATAAAAATTATTATTTATGCCATTTATCTTTAGTTACTTTGAAAATTGAGAATTGTCACAGTAATTTATTTTCCTGTGTTTTCAAGAGTACTTTTGCATGCCTGTTTGTGAGCAAGTTTTACATACATTCTTACAAAGCAAATGGAATTCACATTTTATTTACGCAAGTGGGTGTCAGGAAAATTCTCTTTGAATCATTACCATTACCTGGATTACTAGAGCTTCAAAGAGCAGTAATATGGCTCTCAAAATTTCAGTGCAAATTTTGGTTGTTTCTTCATATCATGTAGTTTCTGATTTCATAATTTAAATATCATAAAATTCAAAAGTTCTACCCTGCTTTTCCTCTGTCACTTCTCATGTGATCTGACTTTAAGTAATTGGAACAAACTGTGTCTAATTTCATGCAGCATAATTGCTAGGCAGCCTCAAGCTATGGAGACTCAGCACTCCGTCTCCATTAAGAAATTTTCCGTTGTTTGGGATATATTTTTTTAAAATAGAAATGAATGAGCCTGGACAAATTAAATGTCACAATAATCTGGCCATTGTTAAGAGGAGAAAAAGGTATCAACAAAACTCCTAAACCCTTGTCTATGGTAGGTCAACTGAATGTTTTTCTTTTTCTCATAGTTCTTGGCCTTAGTGTCCCACAAACTTTCAATCCCTGAAAAAAAGTCTATAATTGCTAGAATCACATGAAAGCCATGACTTCATTCAGCTAATCCTTAGTCAGCCAAAAATTCACAAAGAAATAGGCTTTTAAACTGAAACCCAATACGTTTAAATATCTTAAATCCTGTGCATCTTTACTAAATAAGCTTTTTGTGGACAGTATGAGTTATTCTTTTGTAGACCTGAAGAAAACGACTTGACAAAAACCCAGCATGCCACAGGCACAGCTGCTGAAAAAACATTCAAAGTCCTGTTACCTTTTGCCCACAGGGCTTGTGAGGCCATGCAATGGGCAAAGGCAGACATCATTTTGCAAAAGAGATAAAGAGTAATCTCCGAGAAGTGCCATTTTTAAGGAGAAAATGGGAAATTCATTCCAAATCTTTGCAACCTAAAGGCCTCTGGTCACTACTGGCCATTCTCCCAAACACCTTTGCTGTTATTGCATCTCAAGGACACAGTTTAAGAAAGATCAGTAGGCTCTTGTGAAGGAAAGACGGATGGCACTTCCCAGATATACCAATCGACCTAATCACTTCAGGATATCAAAGCAAATTTGACCACAGTCCCATAGACAGTGAGGGAGACCTCGCCTCTGTTGTGTACATTAGCCTCTTGCTATTATCTCTTAAAAGCTTAATTATTTGCAAACAATTGATCAAGATGGGAATTTGAGAAAGGATATGCAAGGGCCACTGGGAGAACTGCAACACATTAAGAGAGCAAACAAAATTACCTTTAGATCTTACAATAAGAATTAACGATTGAGAGGGGAGAGCTAGGCAATGCAGTAGCTGCAGGGGTTCCTTCTCGAGTGTTTCCCATTTGATCTGCATTAACACCTCAGGAATGAGTGAAAGCCATAAAACAGTGATTATGTATGGGGAAAGCTGGCCCCTCCCTTCCAGCATTAACCCGGCACACGTGTATTAGGCTGGTTTGTCTGGGGAGAGAAGAGATGCTGACCTCCAAGGGAAACTAAGTGGCTTGTGGGCAGTGGAACCCCAGCTAACGGGGATAACTCATGAAATGATCATCCTTATTTCAATCGTCAACACCTTGACTTCTCCTTTCGAGCATAAATCTCTCGCTGAAATATAAACCACTTGCCACTCTTCATGTGTTTCTGGATCTTGCAGTGACTTCCAATAATGAACCAGTATAGAGTGATTCTTTAATGACCCCATCAAAGAATAAAATGATCCCTAGGGTAAGGTCCTGTATAAAAGAAATAAGGGATGTCTGAGAAAAATCTAAAAATACCTTATGTAAAAGTTGTCTGAGCTGTCATTTTACCAGCCACAAAGGATAGAAAGTGACAGAAAATGGAGACTTTCTCAAGAAAGTTATGTCTGCACAATTCCAGTGTTATTTCTTGAGACTGGGACGGGAAGGGGGTTTTAAGTTGGTTATCTGGTATTTACAAGTTTACAATACATCGGAAGAAAGTGTATTTTTTTAAACAATCAAGTAGACTATTTCAGATGAGCATCAATGGGGAAGAGAGAGACTCTGTAGAATGCACAGTTAGAAAATCACCAG